GACACACAGACACACAGACACACAGACACACAGACACACAGACACACAGACACACAGACACACAGACACACAGACACACAGACACAGACAGACAGACAGACAGACACAGACAGACAGACAGACAGACAGACAGACAGACAGACAGACAGACAGACAGACAGACAGACAGACAGACAGACAGACAGACAGACAGACAGACAGACAGACAGACAGACAGACACACACACACAGACACAACACCCACCACACCCACCACACCCACCCACTCACACACACAGCTGGAAAGTGGGAAAGACCAGGTCTCTCCAAAAGATGGTAACCTGAACATTACTCTCCTTCTGCGTGCTGCCGGCTCAGGCCTGAATGATGTCTGGTGTTGTTAAGATTGCAACACCTCTTGCTGTAGCACACGCCATCAAAAGTAAGTTGAGATCCTTGAGCCCGTGATCCGATGGCCCCGAGCTGTGGAAATTCGCGGACGGTGCGTTGCCGAGAAGGTGATGGAGAGCGGCTCCTGGCAATGCCTCCGTCCGAACGGAACGAGTAAATACCTTGCCTGGCCTTCTGTCACTGCTATGAGCAGCGAAGTGTCTCTGAACAACAAATGACAAAGCGGCCAGTAGTAGATGGAACAATCGCAGACATCACGTCAGCCATGCAAATGTTTGTGAAGGCAATGAATGAAGGCCAAATTGAGGTTGACTTTTTGCGCCTGGCAATTACAGGACATGTAAGTTGCAGAAACAAACAAACATATCAATTGAAATCCTAGTTGGGTCTTGGCAATGTGATTTTCACACTTGAAAACAGTTTCCATTTCGGCAAATGTTACATGTTGGTTTACTCGCATGTGATGTGCAACGCTTGACATATCGACTCTTGAGCCAAGCTTGGATGACTTTCCATTAGCTGTGCATGTGTGTGTGTGTTTCAAGAGGCGTTCTCTGGGAAGTGAGGCATTCTTTCCGTCCCTTTATCATTCAGAACCGGCGTTGTTGGCGCGTGAGCGGTGATTCCTCGCTAAGGTCTTCGCCATTGTTTTTCACGTGATTGAGTACAACAAGGACTTAGAGATAAAAGCCGCCTGGCAGAACGGCAATGCTTTTGACAGCAAAGCGGCGAACGCGGGTGCAAGTGATTGCGCAAGCACTTGGCGTCTTTCTTCACATTTAACTGGTGACCAGAGTCCAAGGTTCAGTTTGAGCCACAAACGTTAAACTTGATAAGAAGCTGACACTAGTAACGAGAGTCATACGCATCCTGATTGACATAGGAGTCTAACACGCGCACTCACCTGGTGGTGCCTAGGCTAGCGTTGCTGAGACCATGTCGTGTCTTGGCTGAAGGCGAGCCTCAAGGCAGGCGATACCAAGAAAGAAGTCTAGGATCCTGAGGGTTTGTCCGCTACAGCTCTGGCTAGATCAAGCCTCCGCTTGCAAAAGGTACCAGTGCCGATTCTGCTCATTGCTCTTTACGGTACTAGCTTTTGTGGCCCCTCATCAAGAGGTCTGATGGAACCCCCCGCCGAGGGTGTGGATGCCTCATAGATGGTGCCAAACAGCATCAAAGACACGGACACAGATCGGCTTGACCGAGGAAAATGAGCGTGGAGCGGCAGATGTTCAAAGAATTGCAACAACGGAAGAAGGCCGGACGTGAGAGCAATCGAGCGCCTGACAAATTGACAGTCTACTGTAAAGAGTTCGGGCAGGACAAGGCCCAATCCAAGACTTTCCATGTCTTGGGGAACAGCACATTTTGGTCCGCTCAAATGAGCAGAACCCAAGCAGCCGCCCAAGCAGCCACCCATTCTATTTTGGGAGGTTTGTTTCCTGGGCGAATAAGGGAGCGGGTCCTATTTGGGGCTGTTTGATTTGCGGGGCTTCTCAATTCCTAAATAAAGAGACATCAAACCCATTTGAAAGGCCCTCAATTTTCGCACACGTCCAGCCGACGTACCCAAAAGGCTGAGTTCAAGTAGGTCATTGACTGGGTAATGAGCCTTGTGAAGAATCGCCGAAACTCATGGCCCAAACATCTGTAGATGGGGCCCAGGTACTTGAGCTGCGTGGTAACGCACATGGAGAATAGGCCTCTTTGACATTGTGTGTGCTGACTGGAAGGACTTCGCTTGCCCCCCCCCCCCGCCTCGAGGCTCAACGGGGTTTGAGCGCGCCGACTCGCTGCCAGGCTGCTCAACAAGCGGCTCGCGCTATCCACAAAGGTCAAGCTGTTGCCGTGGCGGCCCTTGCCATGTTCATGCTCTCGCGACTTGGCATGGGAGCGGCTTCCTGCGCAGTTCTAGAAGACATGGCCACCGTTCTTGTTGGCGAGTTGTTGTCAATTGAGGGGCCCACCCAAATTACCCACAGGAACTTTTAGATTAATTTTCCCCGTGCATTGCTGTTGGGGAGCCAAGAGTGTTGTTTGTGGTTCGTATCGCCGTAGTTCCACATTCGACGTTGTAACAAGCGAGTCAGCAGATTATGTTTCTTCAATAGCTACCTAGGATCTTGGGTCATGTGATTGTGAGCCATGGCCACATATTTCCCACCTTCCTGTCCACAGTCTTCATTTGTTTGGTTGTGGTTTCTGCGTGCGTCCGTTGGAGCATGTGAGCAACTGCCTGCTGGGTAGTATCCGAAATCCAGCGATGACTTGATGCTCGTTCCTTCTTTCTGATTGGCTTGGTAGCCGCATGCTGTCTTCAGGTCTCACAGTGCCGCAATGACTACGCCTTTTCCTTTGCCTCCAGGCATTTGGGCCCGGACTTTGGGGTACCTCCCTGCGCCCGAGGGCCTCAAAGCCGCGCGCTGCCGGAAGGGCCAGAAGCCGCCCCGGTGCCTGGCGCCGGAGTTCAGAGACCTGTGGATTGCGCAACGCCTCACGCTGGTGACACTCGAGGCCTTGCTGCTGGCCGACGATGACCTGTGCTGCTGCCTCACCTTTGGCCTGCAGAGACTCCGTGACTTCCAGGTCACGGCTAGTGATGACAGAATGCTGCTCGGGTCCGAGCCGCCGGCCGACGAGCAAGATGGGTGGGTTCAAGTGAGGCAGCCCCCGGTCCAAACTGTTGAGGCTTGCAACCTCTTTCACATTCTCGAGTTGGGAACACGCAGGATCAGTGTGCCACCAAAGCTTATGCAGCAGGTGATGGAGGAGCTGACTCAGCCTCAAGTGACACCGGAGATGAAATACCTCTGCGATTTGGGCTTGCTTGGCTGGAGATTTGTCAAGAAACTGCCGGGCAGGAACTGGGAACGGATGCTCTTTGAAAATACGGCCCACAAGGTGCCGTTGGCCTTGTTCGACCTCCATGCGGACTTCTTCCTTCCGGGCGGCGACGGCGGTGTGAATGCAACGGTTGGCTTCATCAGCACGGATCTGGACTTCACGCTAACGATGCGTCGGTTCCGTGAGTACCCGGTGGGGCGCTGGATGTCCGACTGTAGCTGCGACACGTGGGAGGAGCTTTGCGCAGCACAGGAGTCCAAGCAGGGATACCCCGTGAGCAAGCGGCAAGATGATGCACCGTCCAGCGACTTGCCTCCAGGCCCTTGGAAGACATGCAGCAGCAGAATGCTGAATCCAGCGCTGTTCGACCAATGCATTGTGGATGCACCGGATCTAAGCGCAGCCTATCAGGAGGCGGAAAGACTAGTGGGAGCCAAGTAACTCTTCGGCTGATGCTCAAGGTCTTGAAACTGGCCACTCGCATAGATTTGACTCACGTGCTGAGCATCACGATACTCCTTTTGCCTTGAATGTGCCGAAAGCCCATAGTGCACAGTAATTAGTCTACGAGGTGATAGACATCACATTCAAACACCCAGTTTTGCAGGCGAAGCTTGCGTAGATGACAGCCTATACAGGTCAAACAAAAAGCTGCAAAACAAGGTAGGAACACCCCCAAAACGTAGCACCATGACATATAGGTGGTTGAGATCACAGGCACAAGCGGCCTTGGAGAACGAGGTCAATAGGGTGCGGGGTTGGAGAACGAGGTGGGAACACCCGACCAAGCAGCCATGTACTGTAGCATCGGTAGCTCATATGCGAAAGAGCCCAGCATGAAAGCAAGCGTCCCGCCTTTTTTCAAGGGGCTACATCATGTGTCGCTTGGCCGTCATGCCTTTTCCATATCTATTTGTTTGGTTTTCTTATCGCCCCGTAACCTTGTGACCTCTCCCGAACCACATTTATGTGGCCAGTTTGTATCAAAGCTAATCGCTGGACAACGAAACTGTTGATTTTGGGATGCAAATGATGCGGGAATGTTCGTCTGGCAACTGACGCGAGTGAATGGGGGAGCGATGCTGGTGATGTCTCGCTTAACGAACTGGGAGCAATGGGGATGCTGGCGATGGCCCTCTTCCCACGTGTCGCTTCTTGGACACGACGATGTCAGGCTGGAACTCGGGGAGCCAAGTTCGCTCACTCTAGGCCGGCCACCTCGAACCGAATCTCAGAACTGTTCTCCAGTCGCAACTGTTTTCTTCCTAAAACAGGGGCACCCACAAATGCTTGGGTCTTTAAAATCCAAGAGCCCCCAAGGGGGTCCAACCCAATTTTGGGACACCCAAGCCGAGGGGAAGGGAGTCGAGCCTCGCCCAAGGTGGGGCGTGTGCAAGGCGACGACGGAGTTGATCCTACTGGCTGCAGTCGCAGGCGAGGCCGCCGCACTCCGTGGCGCTTTGCAGGTTGCAACGTGCCAAGCGGCGTTTTCTCTCGCCAAGTTCATTTAGTAGGGAGGGGGGCCTTTCAGTTCTGGTATTGTATGTAACATGTTCCTGCTTGTGGCTGCAATCGTTGTGGTCGTTTGCACGTCTGCTGCCTTTCGTTGCCTTTTCTTGTACTGAGGCTCCTTGTCATACTTTGTTTGTAGTGATTACACAATTTGCTTCCGGTCGTTTGTCGCTTGTCTTCTCGCAGCGCCTGTTTTGAGCCATGAATGCTTCGGATTTCTCTTCTGCCAGTTTTAAGGCATGTCGGGTAAGCGCAAAGAGGCCGGAGGAAGTTCGGTCATGCTGGCCCTTTTGACCCGCTTCAGCGCAGGCGCCGTGGGCAACGTGGCGGCGCCTTGGACTTCCAAGCCAATTCAGCCAGCCTTGTTCTCTCGGTTTGCTGCTTTTCAGGTTCTCCACATATCGTTTGTCAGGATTTCTTACAAAACACATTTTGGCCTTGTTCACTACAGTGCGAGCACTGTTAGAAATCGGTTGGTCGAGGCCCAGGGAGGCTGAATTTCTTCACAAAGGAGCCCTTCATCACCGAAATGGCCGCTAAGAAATTGGGCCCCTGGACTTCTTAGCGGGCACGTCCATGATGGTCAAACTTGCTTTCTTCATCGCGCAAGTGTTCCAAGAAATTGGACGAACACTCCAGAGGGGCTCAATTTACTTAGCAGCACCTGCGGTTGCAACCTACTTGATCTGGCAATCTCAGCCCCTCAATTTCTTATACAATGATTTGTTCTACAGTGCTTGCCCTGTAGCTGATTTATAGGATTCAGACTGATTGGAGACCTTTTCAACCTGTCAGGATTTGACAGCCTGGCCCGTGGCACTACAGCAGCTTGGAGGAAAGATGAGGCAGCGCGACGGGTCACCACGTTTCCACCCTGAAAACCGCAAAGGAGGGTTGGGGTTCTTCAAATACTATAAAGGAAACTTGATTTGACTTGCTGGCATGAATGGAGTGGTTCAGCAACGTTGGTTTGCAGCTCACAGCAAGCACTTGTGGCACTTGACTCGTGATTCAACCCACTCTAAGGCATCCCAGCCGGTATGCTGCTGCATCTTGGCTTAGCATGCAGGCTGCCTTTGTCCCGCTCTTTTGGGGCTGTCCATTGCGTGATGTTTGATGTTGGCACATCAATGTAAATGTCAAACCACGAATCATGTGAGCTTCACATATGTCAATGTATGATTGTGGGTAATAGAGTGTCTACGTCCTGCGCTTTGCGATTCAGCTTGCTCTTTGAGCGTGTAGCAGCTGGAGGCCATCCAAATCGGAGGCTCAGTCAGCGGGGTGCTGCCGAACTTCATTGAGGCGGGGGAGTTGAGCTAGGTTTTAACAATCTGCACACCGAAAGGACGCAACAAGGTTAGCCACAAAGACGGCTCTGAATGGTGAACGGTGAGAACGCCACCAGAATGTGAGCTGGAAACAAGGTCTGACAGCATAGCCTGTTCTAGGAAACCGCTGCGTCCACACAGGGATCCCAGCTTGCACAACGGATTATGGAGCTGGTGTCGGTTTGTATTGCGGTACTGGGTGTCACTCTTCGTGCCCCCCAAAGAACCACCATTTAATAGCTTTTGTTTAACACAATGTTATTCACACTTCAGCAGCGTCCAAAGCCTCCGTGTACATGTTTAGTAAGAGTCATGTCATATCGACCAGCGCGTAAGGAACAACTCCACGCGCGTAAGGTGGCGTAAGCTGGTGGCGAAAGCAAAACCTCCAAATGTGTCGTAAGCAAAAAACCCACACGCGTAAGGTGGCGTAAGCTGGTGGCGTAAGCAGAATGATACGACATAGCAAATCATGACACGTTTAGGACATGGCTCAATTACTTCTAGGCAGCACATCGCCCTCCCAATTCGGAGGCAGTGATTGGCAACTGCGGAATCCTCGCGTACCTGCTTTGCATCCTCGTGCTGTGACCCGGCTGGAGGATGGGAAGGGGGTATTGTGCAGATGTCGTAGGTCTGGTTTACATGTCTTACATGAGACATTGACACAAGGCTTTGGTCGTGACAAAAACTGTGGGCCGAGACCCTGAGTTGTGCACTGCCAGCACGCAGACTGCTGCTCAAGGAGAATACAATTTCTGAAAGACTTCAGGAGGAACAAGCACAAAGTGCATCACAGGAGCACCGGCTATACCGCCAATCATCTGCAATTTTCTCACAAGTGTCGGCCACGGGGCTCAGTTTTTAATTGCCTGCTGTGGATGGCGCAGCGTCCGCTGGTACCTGACAAGCAGAAATTCTTCGGCAGCGCCTTCCGCGTCCTGGAGTCGCCGCATGCCTCTCCCTGCATCTCCTTCGCCAATGCTCCGGCAACCCCGACGCAGGGCTACGTCTTCCCCGCAGATCCGCTGCCACACTTCAGCCCAATGAGCCCGATGAGCCAATCCGGGACAGCCCCTCCGCATCGGACAGGCAGAGGGGTCTTTGACCTCATTGGTCAGCCGCTGCTCACACGGCAGGGCTCAGGGTCCCCTGGCCATAATGACACAAGCCATGGCACCTACGTCGGCTACGCCCCGCACGCGGCCCCGCATGCGGCCCCGCATGCAGCCCCACACACAGCCACGCACGCGGCCGCACAGGCCCCTCATGGTCCCACGGGTCCCACGTCTCCCACTGGGACGAATGAGCGACCGCGGCCTTCCCAACTGAGCTCCACGGCCTTCACGCGGCAGGCGGGAACACTAAACATTTCTCAAAGCACTAGGCCATTTGCAGGGACCGTTTTGCAGCTGAGAGTGAAAAGCTATGGTTGCTCACCTGACCATTTTCGGTTTTGTTTCTTGAATCTAGACCAGTCCCTGGATTTCCACCTTGCCAGCATTGCAGCAGTTTCATAGTTTCATCCCAGCTTCTGCAGGCGCTGTTGTGCTTGCTTGTCAATCGTAGTTGGTCCTTGAGCGGCCATGGTCGGATTTAGGTGGGGACGGCCACCTCAGACCGTTTCCCTTTTCACGAGACCTTTTGCCTCCATGAAAGTGGGTAAGTTGGTGGCTAGGTTGCAAATGTTAAAACGAGAACGCTCTCAAAAGGAAACCTCAAATCCTCCATTTGTTGGGTTCTGAGAAATCGAAGCTCGTTCCCGACAGGCAAGCCCACCAGCGTCTCCGGCCTTCGCGAGGCAATTCAGCCCTCCAGGCTCGCCGGCCTGGACCACGGTGAAGAAGAAACCCCCGGTGGTGAGACAGGCCCAGGGTGTCTCAAAGATGGTTGGCTCATCCAAAGATGGTTGGCTCATCCCAAATGTGGACTCTCTGTGTATTTTTCGTAATGTCCGTATGTTTCTGTTTCGGTTTCCCTTGAAGAAGTATTGAAGAAGCAATATTTCTAAGTCGGCGCACCCAACGAGCGGCAGTTGTCTCGTTTCTTCCAATTGAAATGCTACTGTTTTTTTGTTGTGCTCCGAGTTTCGGCCTGAGGTGCAGGTGCAGGCACCACAGGTACCGCCGGAGCCGCGGCTGCAGAGGCTGCCCACGACTGGGGACTCAGTGGATCTCTACTATGACCAGAAGGAGAGAGCTGGGCAAACAAAACAGCAATTACACACAACAAGCGAGAAGAGACACACACACACCCAACTGGACAACGCAACAACCAACAACCAGCGACTAACACCAAGCATAAACTACATGGAACGAAAGGGACGGGGACAGGGACGCGGCTGAAGATCCGGATCCATTGTTTGACCTCCATCTCACTCGTTTCTCAATGTGAATGAAGTGTTGAGCTGTGGGATCGGATGCCAGAGACTGGTGATAGAGGGCCGCAGGTGTCGGGATATCAAATGCCGCTCCTGCCTGGCGACCTGTGTGGAATATGTTCATGGTGGAAGCGCACCACCAAGTTTGGGTGATTTCTCTTCAAACGCGTTTTGGCTCTTGACATTGCACGGCTCAACACTGTGTAGGCAGTGCCGCAGGTGCAAACTTTTTGATTTGGGCTTAAATGGCTGCACAGCGCAGCAAAACGCCTTTGTGGCAAAGTTCAAACATATGTGAAAGGCACTGCTTGACACATTTCGACCTTGTCCGCACAGCGCATCCTGCATTGACAACCAGTATAGCGCAGCCAGCATTGACAAGGTTTCAAGATTGAATGTGACACCCTGCCAGATTACACCTTGTTTGATTTGTACACAATTATTTCCAGGAAATGTTCGTCAAGGGCTGGACGAGGGAGGCCAAGAGCACGAGAAGCGTCAAGCAAAAGAAGCGGGTGGACTACCAAGTGGAGAAGAGGCGCCAGCAAAGCGAGCGCGACCGAGCCCCGGGAGCCAGTGACTTTGGAAGCTACTGCGGCTCTGACTTGGACGAGGATTGACAGATGGCCGGCTCTGAGACGCTACAATGAATACCGCAATGTCAAGTAGGAAACATGTGTAGAATATCCGAATTTGGCATGCCACAGTTGCGCGGACCACACTGAATGCACAGTGGCTTGGCTGTTTTTAGTCTGTAGTCGAGTCTAAACATTGCACACACACACACACACTGCACGAGTTCTGTTCAACTCTCACTGAACCAAGCCAACACCAAAAACAGCCAAGCAGCAGTCTAATCCGACTCGTGGCCGAGCAGTTTGGAGTTTGACCTGACAATTTTGTGGGGTACCCCTGAGTGGCACAATTTGGACGGAAATCCGACTTCAATCTCCTGACTCCTCAATCTCCTCATTGAAAGTGAGGATCTTTCGGCTGAAGGCCTTGTGTAGTAGTTTCTGTACGGACCAAGTGCCGAAGGAGGTGTGCTGACACGGTATTCGGGATAAGAAAAGCAGCTGGACTGGGAAAGTGGGCCACTATTGAATGCTCGCGAGAGGATCTCGAGAAGGTGAGCATCCAAAGTGGTCGGCTTCGCTGCTGATTCACTGCTTCTACTGCCACTAAACCCTCATCATGTTCATCATCCTCGTCACCACCATGATCATCATCATAGTCACGATCACGATCATCATCATAAACCATTATCATTATCATCATCATCATCATCATCATCATCATCATCATCATCATCATCATCATCATCGCCCCATCTTCGTCACCACCATCACCGTCACCATCATCATCACCATCACCATCGTCACCATCATATCATGGCCACCATCACCATCATCGCTACCATCACCATCATCGTCATCCTCATCGCAATCGTCACCGTGGTCATCATCCTCATCGTCGTCACCATCGCCACCAGCATCATCATCAGCATCATCCTCCTCCTCCCTCCTTATCATCATCATCCCCACCATCACTATCAGAGTCACTTGGTATCTTCTTCTTGTCGATTTCTTCTTTTGCTTCTTCTTCTTCTTCTTTTTCTGCATCTTCTTTCAACTTGATCAATCGCCCGTGAGTCGATCAGATAGATCGATCATGACTCTGGCGGCGCAGTTTGCCATTCCTACGTTGCATTTGAGGATATTTTGCAACAATGGTGCCAAGGTCTAGGTTCAGAGACATGCATTTTTGACAGGTGTGTGCATCGATTGGCATTCAGGTGCTTGCAATCAATCGCACCATCTTTTTCCGAGTTGCTGAGGCAGCTGGCGCTCTGGGTGACCATCAGTACCAAAGATGTCGCGGGCTTGCCGCCTGATGAAATTCAACCCTTTGCAGAGAAGGCCGGCACATACGGGCGCGATGGCTGTGGCTGGTACTGTCGTTCTTTCCTACTGCCATGCTTGGCTCTTTAGCTGTGATGGATGGCCCACATCACCTCCAGGAAACACTGCGACGTCACTCCAGCCATCCACCCAACTCCGACAGGGAGAGATAGCTGAAAGCGGCGAGAAGTGCCAAGCGCCCAATATGCCCAATCAAGGAGCCCAAAGAGGCGTGGCTTTCCCAACCGTATGTCAAGCCCGCAAGCGGCCGACTGGTCGATGTAATGGTGACAGTGGCCAGCATTTCAGGTCTATTTGTTGGTTGATGTCCCCTGGCATCAGGTAAGGTACTCTGTGCTCCTGTTGCTCTGTGCTCCATTGCGCCTGACATTGGAACAAGTTCATCAGCAACATCAACATCCCCCTGCTTAAACCTTCCAATGAGCCTCACAAAAGTCTGATTTGGTCTGTCACATACCTCAACTGTCCCGAAGCTGTTGACCTTGACGCACACTGCATTGGGCTGCCCTGCAGAACGAGGATGACATTTTGGACATTGATCATACTCCGTGTTACACAACATATTGGGAAAGACTGTTTGTTCTTTGGCTACTTGAGAAATGCGATTCTTTTGCAGGATTCAGCGCATACTGTAATACTGTGCAGAAAGGGGGCTAACTGCCATGTCAAGCTGATGGTTTCGGAAGATGGCCCTGTTTCCTAGTCAACGCTTGTCCTGAAACTGGTGGGATCCATTGGACAGCACCTGCCTCCGATCCCCGGGCCCCTTCCGTTTTGGGAAGTACGAAACGGGGTCATCGATGGAGGAGAACATCCTGAACCACAGAAAACTCAATGCTTCCCAAGTGCCCCCTCCTTTATTTCCATCAGGCGACCTGCAATTGTGCCGGCTGCGATGGCTGCAACTTCGACGGGGGCTCCGCCACGACTGCCGCGAGCGTGGGGGGTGCGGGGCCTGAAGGGATCTCAAGGGGGGTGCAGAACGGCCCTTCAAACCCATCCAGCTGTGAGATCTGTGAGTCAGTGGTACATGCAGAGCCATTGGTGACACTTACATCAACTTTGGAGGGCGTACTACGAATGAAGGAGCAGTTATATACATCTTGCTGCGTCCCCTGGACCTGAAGCAATGTCAAGCAATGGGCACCTCGAACCTGGACATGAATTGCAGGAAGTGAGGAATTGATATTTGCTTGCAAAGCGGATGGTGAGCCGTAGCATGGGACACTCTTCATTGCCTCGATGGAAACGCACCTGGAAATATTTGAACTTTCATATTGGATGAGAATCCAAAGCATGTCCTCTGCTTGTTTGGAGCCACAACATGACCTGGAACATTGTAGAGGGATGAATCCAAGCAACTTCGAGCATGTTGCCTTGAGGGGCCAGTGAGAGCCGGCGTTGCCGGCCATGCAAATGCTTGATATCTCTTCCTTAGGGGACACCATTGTGACCTGTTGCTGACCGATTTCGTTGGTAGGCCAGCTGGCAGATCTGCAAGGGTTCGCGTTGACAGAGCTACAAGGTGCAGCATCGCCTGTGACGGAGGAGGAGGAGGACTGTCACGTTGGCACACAAGCTCGGCCCTAGTTTTCGCACGCTCCGAGGAGACGTCCTCCACGGATGATGACAAGAGTATAGGAGTGGCAGAGATGGCCACCAGGCAGGGCAAGACGGGCAAGAGGTTTGCTTGGCGCAAGATGTGCGAGATGCGTTCCGCGCAGCGCACTTGGAGCTCTCAGGTCCATCACGCGATTTTACAAGGCGCTTCGTGGAGATCAAGACAGTCTGTCCGAAGCGGCTTGGATGCATTTCAGACCCCACTGCGTCGACTCAACAGATCCAACTCGAACATAGTCATAGTTGTGAAGTTGGTCACACTTACGGACGAGCCCCCCCTCTCTCGATTGTGAAGTTGATTGCATATTGTCTTCAGACAATTGACCACGTTTTCTTCACCAGATGATTTGACTGCTTGATCTTGCCCGGAGTTTGTGCCCATCCGCGCTTTCTGGGCCTTCGGCTTTGCCACTCGGCCAGGGCGGCCAGAGCCTGGTGGCCTTCTACACCTCTTGCTCGTTCGTCTCCAGGCTTGCTCGTCTCGCCATGTCTCGCCTTCAAGAAGAGCCGGTCAGCATGGGCGTCGGTTGTGGCCAGCGTGCCTGGCCATGCTGCGTTTTCATGGCCGTTGGCAGTGCGCGTTTTCGCTTTTGAGATAGGTTGATCAAGAGAGAACGAGAGGCGGCGAATGCTTGCCGCCAGGGCCATGTGCTACAGCATCCCGTCGCTCTTGCCCTTCATTGCGAATCCCTTTGGAGTACGAAGACAAGAGACACTCGGCCGGCCTCAGGTTGCAGAGGTAGTGGAGCAGACTTTCTGAGGGACCTTTTTGCCTGCTGAGTTGGCGTCCTGACTCTTGCACACTGACCAGTTTCTACTTCCAGTGCCCAGCCTGTCATTTTTTGAAGCAAGGCTTCCCAAGATTCTCAACTCTCTCCGAGTCATGTCCGTACAGAGCAACATTCACTTCTCAGACACATCATAAGCTCACCGCTGCAAGCGGCCAAGGCTGTACGAGAGCATGAACACCATGTTGCTTGGCTGGTGAAGCCATCAGATGTGGTCCCATGGCGATTCTTCCTCACGTTCTCGCTACACGCTCACGCAGCAACTTCTCAAATCATGATGCGTCTCAAGGTATAACGTGGGCAATTTCGTGGGGCGGATGCTTTGTCAGTTCTACAAGCCCCACACCTTTGGTCTGGTGCCTTGCCGCATTTGGGAAGCTTGATACATGCGGAACATGAGGGTTGCACATTCCGAGAGCTGCAATTTAGCTTCATGCATTTGGAGCGGGGCCTGAGGGTAAGACGGAAGTAGCTGTCTAATTTGATGTGAGTCCTATGTTACTTGATGCTTTGGCGCCATGGCGGTTGCAGCATGCTGAGGCATGCAGCTTGGGCATGGTCATTTTGACATTCGTCTTCTTGGTCCTTTGCTTCTCGAACGCAGGGCGCGCAGCCTTCTTGGGAAACCCTTCTCTTCCATTCTGCAGATTGAATTCATTGCTGTGTTCTTGCTGGGTGAAGGGGCACGAGAACTCTGAGAGTCAACCAATTCCTCGCAGTGGGCGGTGAACCGAACCATTCACATGGCTGCCGGCAGCGCTGTCCATCACGGAGTGATCCGGATTCTCACCCGGATGAAGTGCCGTGCCCGCTCAACGTGTGTTTCCTGAACTGCTTCCTCTGGCTCGGTTGCTGCCCGTGCCTTCTGATTCTGGGGACAATCTGTTATGCAGCTTTCCAAGCGAGGCACATTTGGCATCCAAGGCAAGGTACAGTGTTGGTTACTCCAAAGAACTGTGATCATGTACACTTCATTTGCCAGGAATGTTTCGTTCGTTGGATGATTAAGTAAATGGGCTGGCCGCGTTTTCAAATTGGCGTTGTGGCTGTTGTTAGCATTGCCTCATGCCAAGGCTCGGTATTCCCAGAGGATGTTGCCGTTCGCACTTCGGCCGTGTTCACCGCATGGATCATACCTCTCATTGACTCCTGGCTGCATCCATTTTGTTGACCAGTATTGGAGCCTACAGGTCCTTGAGGTCATGGAAAATAGGGACCCAGTTGCCTCTGAGAAACAACAGAACCCCAAAGCGAAGGCAGCATGTTTTGGCATCGCTGAGGTGGGGCTCTTCAACTTGTCGGTGGGGCTCATGTCGACTGGATTGCAGCTGGGTCGAACAGATTTCGGTGCTGATTCACTCTTAGACTCTTAGACCTTTCTCCACTTGCCCGGTGGCATCAGTCTTTTCTTTCCGTGGTGTGTGTTTGTGTTTCCCTTTGAACGAACCAACGAAACACCGTGCTTTTTTTCCATGGCCACTGGGCAAGTAAGTTTTGAAGTGCACCACAAGAAGGCACCTTTTGCCCACATGAGACCTTTGGAATACTGCGACTCGGTTGTGCTTCTTGCAACCAAGGGGCTTGGCTTCTGAGGTTCATCCGAGCCCATGAAGATGCACAGAGCAAGAAATGCCCGGACACCATTCAAGCGACCATGGGCGTCTCGTCATGCAAGTCTTCCAGTATTTGTGCTGAAAGGCATGGGATTCAGAGACTCAGAGAGGCTTGCGGAAACCAAGATAGTTCTCGTTTGAGGTGCACAAGCTATGATGAAGCTCAAGTTAGACTATCCTTACAGCGCGCTGGCATGCCCAGGATTCTACGGCCAAATCGGCTGCGTCAGCACTGAACTCAGCGGGGTGATACGGGATGCTTGAACAGTTGTAAGTCGTAAGGTCACACAAACACACACACAATCAGAGAAGACTTGTTTGGATCAATGCCGGTGTGATTTCTTGGTCCGTGAGGGGCATGCTTGCTAACACAGAGATCCGCCAAGTGCACCGCCTTGGCGGGAGCAGGGTGGCGTTCGGGTTTGGGTTGAGAGGTGGAAACTTGTTCATCTTCCTGATCATCAACGTCTTCCATTTGCTGTAGTGGCCGGCGTCGCTGCTTGCTCCGTAGACGCGAGTGGAGCTGACCGCTGCGCCCAAAGGCGTGACTGCAGGTTGTAGCTCCTGCATTGGGTCGTGTCTGACCAATGCACTGTGACACGTGTTTTTAGTATGACCCCGCCTGTTTCGACATATGTAGCGTCATGTTACATGATGTTTTTGGTTTGATTCCGGAGATTGCTGAGCACACGGGTGCCAGACACCACTGTTGAGTCAGACACGGCACGGTTGCCCCAAGGGGGGCCGGGGAGGGTCGCAGAAGAGAGAGGGGTCGCGCCCCGTGGTGCTTCAACTCGGAGCGGCTCGGGTCTTTGAATTGTACATATTTTGCTCCGGTGCGAATCCTGATTGTTGCGGCGCAAGGCTGAGAGACGGGCGCTTGCGAGAAAAAGAGCCGCGGGCTGGTTTTGGTTGTGCAGTCTGTAGCTGGGTAGTCTTGTGAGGGAGAAGGACGGCAAGAGGGTTGGCGAGCCTACGGAGTTTTTCTTGGGGGAAAGCATCTTGGCTCCACTTGCAAAAGCAAGAGACTGGAAGGGAACATTGCAGCCAGCTTGCAAGGCCAATGTAGAGGCTGTCGATCAGGTAGGGCGTGGACGTTTGAATTGGGGACCACATCCCCAAACAGTGTGTGTGTGTGTGTGCGGAGTGGCAGAATACCCTGCCACCACAATTGCTTATGATTTCAACCGCAGGGGCGTGCAGCACCTTTGGCATACTGCACGCAATGAAGCTACCTCCAAAGGTGGGAAGGGTGTCCAGACGTGGACACCTGTACCTGCGTCGTGATGTTGCTGAAAGTCCTTTTGGCCCCCCCCCCCCCCCTGAACCGCCGTTGCTTTTGTGTGTCCCTGTTAAAGTAGCTACAGGGAAGCCAAGTGCATTGCGAGCCGAAGCTCGTCGTACTCGAGACTTCTCAGTTGTACTCGAGACTCATCAGTTGTACTCGAAGGATTAGCACCCTCCCTTGGGAGTTGAAGTGTGACTACCCCAGTTTGGGGGAACCTCGGGTGTACAGATCCAGAACTCGGCGCAGACGGGATAGGAGCCCATCTTCACCTTGGTCTCGGACGGCATGGATTGGAACAACCTGATGACCTGGCAACACAATCCGGGCTACAACGCACCCAATGCCTTTCCAATGACGCAGAGCAACTACCAGCCGAATCCCTCGTCATCGCAGCTCTATCAGCACCCTCCGGTCAACTACATGATGCCGTTCCCTCCTGAACCTGCGCCGGCGAAGACCGTGAAGCCGACGATGCCGCCTCCTGGCCACGCACAAGTTCATCCTTCCCAAACAACGACAGCGCCTGGCTATCCAGCCACGCTGCCAGTGCAGCCTCAGAAAGCATGGCTTACTCCGCCGGAAGAGTGGCAACCTGGTGACGGCATGTTGGACAAGAACCAGCTCTACTCCTTCAGCCTGCCCATGACGGTTGCCAACACCCCACTTCATACGCAGGATATGTCGGGCATGGACATCCGGGACGTTCGCCTTGTTCAGGTCATTCACGGTGGCATCTCGGCCATTTGCTCACGGGAGATTCGTGACGTGGGAAGGATTTCGCACACCCGCACCGAGGCCTTGCTTTGGAGTACCTGTTCGAAGTTGCTCCGCCGATCTCAACCACTCAACCTGCTTACTTTGGAAAAGGACTTAGCCAATTCGCTGGGACTTAACATTGATGACTTCAATCAACGGATCAAGGTTCACGATCACTTGGGCAATCTGGTGCTTCAGTTTCTTCAGCAACATCATAAGACTCTCACACCCCATGCTCAAGAAGATGAGATGCTCAAGAAGTACAACAATCTCCAACGAGCTCACGAGTTGCTACAGGCACAGTACTCGGCGTCACAGAGAACGTCGCCTCCTTCCACGATGACATCCCAGAAAGATGATGCAGAGCTGGTCCCGCCGCCTCCGGTCAATCACTCACAGTCTTCGACGCCTACCAGCTCGCTACCCACGGTAAGTGCGGCGGCCCTTGACGGCAGGTCATTTGATGTTCCATCTCAGCAGCAGCCTCGGATTATCCAATCTCTTCACGGACTGTCTTCCCCGCCTTGCAAACAAACAACACCTCAGTTGCTCACCATGCGCAGCACGCCGGAAGACATCATCAAGCACTACACCTGGACCAGTGATCAGCCACGATTATACCTCAAGCAGGCTCCTACTACTACTACCATGCCATCGCTGATCAAGTGGGCTAACCAACCGTCCCGTCTCAGCGGCAACAAGTCTTTGGAACCCATGGCGGCTCAGCTCTACCTTTGCCAAAAGGTGATGCTCCTACGTTTGCTTCAATGGCCTCTTTGTGGGGACTGGAGCCAGGCTACACCACCAAGCTCTCGGACAAAGCGCTGTGCCTCCTCATGGTAGCAGCTCGACTTCTCACCGGATGAAGTGTGTCTGCCTTTCAATATGAGCCCGGAGTGGCGACTTTGCGGCGTTGTGATCTGCGCTTGCAAACTTGTCTGCGCTTGACTTGAGGCTTGTCGTGACTTGTGAGTTGCTTGTCTTGTCTTGTCTTGTGAGTTGCTTGTTACTTGTTGCCACACTTGAATGCATGTCGCCGCCACCTTGTAGCTGCACTTGGTCAGACATTCATCATGTGGACTGAGCTTCAGCGCAGCGGGATATTTGAGGACGTTGCGCAATGGCATACTTTTCTGGACACATTAACGTTTTTCTCCGCGTGCTGGCGGTACTGCTTCCCTGGACTTCAACTACCAACGGCACCTCCGGATGAGTATGAATCGATTCAGCATTTACCTCAGTTGGACCTCATCCTGGAAGTGCTCACCCTGGTTCGGATTGCGCTTCAAATGCCGATGCGTTCCATGTCACGTACTCTTCACACAGTTGGCAACAGATATGTTCGGAAAATTGGTTTCCGTGAACATCTGGTTCACCTTCGTCGTCATTCGTTATCCTCGCCTACGTCATTATCCCTTCACAAGCGGTTTCGGCGACGACTACATCCTGATCTACATCGTCAACTGCGGCCAGAGATGCTGGATGACATCCAAGCACACTATTCTACTCTGTATCAGTTGGGATCTAATACTGGTGCGTCGTTTCAAACCATGCGTGACCTTCTATCGGTGGCTTTCCTACTTTTTCCTGCGACTTTCCACCTTTGTCAATGAACCTTTTCGCTCCAAGGCTCAGAAGCTTCTCGCCCAGGTCTTGCGTAAGCGACAACTCCAGGTACCAACCACCATGACACAACTACTTCTTCCACCTCTACATGTTCGAGACTGGAAAGCTCAGCTTGGAACCTGGTTGCAGCGTTGAGTGGCATCTCACCGTGACCTCTTTCCTTCCTTATTTCTTCCGAAGATCCGGGTTGTGGAAACTCGCAGTGCCACCTTGGGAGACCGGATCTACAACTACCGCAAGTGGCAGCGAAGATGGACCCCGGATACGTCTTTCCCGTGTCGCTGCATTGACATGGACGACCGCACCACTTCTCGCGCACATTCTCATGCGGTGATTTTGGATGAGTTTTCACGCATCAACGCTGACATTGACTCTGACATCATGGCAGCATCCATGAAGGACCAGTATTTTGGTGATGTCAACAAACTTCAACAACGTTTTGACATGCAGCTTCGCAAGCTGGCTCGCCGATGGCAAGTACAAAGATCCAGCTGTGATCTGCCCATCTTTGTTTTCCATGCTGATGCACAAGACCTTTTGCACAGGTGAAGCATTTGCACTGTGCCGTGAGTCTGCTGCATCTTTTCGCGCCGAAGTTGTATAACCATGATACCTGCTCGACTACAACACCGCCATGCATGGGGACTTCGACTTCATGCACCTTTGCCCACGGCTCGCATTCTTCCCAAACCGACCAAAGACTGGCTCAAAGCGAGACCAAATTTCCTTCTTCCGCACATGGGCAGCACCCCTCCTCACGGTCTTCGGCGCCCTTATCTTTGAACTCATCAAGGTCACCTTTGCCGACGGCCCTGGTCAGCTTTCAGTTCAGGAGCTAGTACAGCAGCTTTGGGATGCTCTATCGTGTGAGGACCCCACGGAATATATACAGTTGGTATCACAGGTCAAAGGCGTCCGAAGTGCCAACGAGCAGATGTTTACTTACTCCTCGTGGTCTCGATCGTGGCTCATTGTGCGTGGAGCTCAGCCAGCAATCCAACAACAGATTGGCCTGGATGCTCTCAAACGTCTTTATGAAGCCAAAGGCTTCAATCCTCACCTCCTACGTGATGTCCGGCGACGAGTTGTACCAAAATGAGCATGTTGCATCTTTGCTTGTGCACTTGTTGCCTCTTTGCTTGCGCACTTGCTGGTGAGTGCGTGCGTGTTTCTAGTTGGCTCGGATTCTGTGGTTGCTTGCCTTGCGGTAGTCTCTTGCCCTTGACATGGCGGTGTATGTGGTGAGCAGCCTGCTGCGTCCTGATGGGACGGTTCAGGCCACCAGTCAGGTCACCCTGGACCAGTTCCCGAGCTTCATCAACGGCAATGAGGTGCAGTTTTTTGTCCAGACGCACGGCCTGGTGCATCTGCGGAATGTCCAAACCCACAGCTCTTCGCGCAACATCCGGGCGATGCAGGACCAGACATCAGATATGCGCTCTTGCTCACCAGTTCCCCGCCGATCTCAAATTAGACTTACGCCTGGGCCACATGCCATTCCAAAGATGAAGATGACTGGGGTGAATGGACTCATAGTGGCCTCCGAAATCATGACGATCGTAGGCGTCCTCGGTCGCCATCTAATCCACCAGTACGCCAGGTGGCATCCACCACGAAACCATAAGCAGCCTAACTAAGATACAGGACAAGACAAAGTAGGATACCATGATTTGGTGTTATTCCTGGAAACTGTGGTTATGGCACAGGCCTCAGAACTCACCACTCTGCCCAGGCATTTGGGTTAAAGGCAGTTGGTTTCTCCTTGGTGGAGGGGGGGGGGCGGGGGCAGGACAGAACCTAAATTCCCTCTACCGCAGTGCTTTCATTTATAGTTCATGCTTTGTAGTTTTAAGAATCACATGGAGTCACAGGTTTTGACAGCCATTAGTCTGGCTGGCGAGTTTGTTTTGCAGTTGGTGCCTCCTCATGA